CGCGACAAATAACTTCACGCCGTATTTGATATAGCGAATTTTATTTCACATTTGCTCATACAATCACCCAAATTACAGATTTACGATTACTGCTATCTGCAGTATCACAATTAGTACACTCCAAATGCCACAATACAACTGACTAGTTGCTGGCTAACTCGGAACTAACTCGGAGGTAGCTCCCGGACTAACTGACTGACTGACTCTGAATAGCCTTCGCTGCTCCTTATGTAGCCTTGATCGGACAATTGTTGTCTGGTGCCTTGTTGCTAGCCACGCTGTCCGGAGTTGTTGACTNGTAACCGCTGTTACTACTTGGTGACGTCACCGCTGTTGACTTGCGTTGCCTAGCGACCAGGATGCTAGGACTCGGCTAACATCGGCTCGCTTCGGCTTTGCTCGGCGCATCACGGCTGGCGGGGGTGGGGGAGGGGCGTCATCCATAGCTCAGCATGTCACAATATTTATGTTAATCGGGTGTCGCACTATTATTTGTATGCAGAACACATTTATGTATACATCTGTGAACACATATAACACTTAGACTTTTTTTTTTCATTTGACTCTTTAGAGCAAGAAGGAATATAGAAACTAACCTGGTACCATATCCATGTTCTGGGATACTGACAAACACAGAACTAGTTTTCTCCACAACAGAAGCACTTCGATTATTTAGTCGTCGTTGAAGTTCAGGATCCGGAAAGTGGCTGTTTGTAGACAATTTATAACATAAATATATTTCAAGCTTATGTAATCAACATCAGGTAAATACAACTGCTCAAGTTGTACATGATTTCTACAGGGTACTGTGTGATTGAATACTGAACACAGATGGCAGCTTCTGCTGCTTTACCTACCCATGGTGTGGGCTGCTTCTACTACCATTCCACCCCACTCTTAACCACCATCTGCTTTCAAGACGTAGTCAGGCAGTAACTGCAGAGCCTCACCTCATCAACTTGATAAATAGTGCTTTGGGGAAACTGTCATAAAACTGCTGTGTAATGAAACTACTGTTCTCCGTGAAGATTAATTTAACCTCTGTAACTTAAAGAGTTTCTTACATACACATTTTGGACTTTACACTATTTTGCAAGTTTTCAACCATTTCCAATTCTTTGATCAACAAAGAGTGGGGGCTTATACAGTGCACATCATAGTCTACAAATCTAATTATATTATGAACACATCTCAAGATATTTACAGACTGAAAATTAAGCTTTTATGGGGTAAAATCAAAGAACTGTCATGACCTATCACTTTTTCGGTTTAAGAATTATGCATGTTGGCAAGTGAAATAATATAAGTTTTAGACATATGTATCTGTAACACAGCTCAGCTTCCGCATTTCTAACTGGTGTAGCAACCAACCACAAACCTTCACCAATAGGTCAGTCACACTTTCAAATCCCTCAAAAGAGAGAGTGGAAAGAAAGTGTAATGTTCAAATGCAGATTATTTACTCATTTGAAACAGACTGTTTATTCACTAAAGGGAAATAAATAAATATCACTAAAGTATTCATTTCTTCAGTTGCAATGAAACTATTTTTTTTATTGCTAGTTGGGTGGGACTAAGTCCCTTGTACTGTGGTCACTTCTGGCCTATTGTACCAGCCCCGGATGATAGGTGAGGGTGATTGTGGAGCAATTGATGGAATGAAGATTGGCAGGGGAAACTGAAGTACTCTGAGAAAACTTGCCCCAGCACCACTTTGTCCACCACAAATCCCACTTGACAAACCTGGGATCGAACCCGGGCCACTGCGGTGGGAAGCCAGCGACTAACCGCTTGAGCTATGGTGCGGCCTGCAATGAAACTGTATATGATATAATACTGATATTTGTGAAAGACATAAATTAAGCCACAGATCATGTTCTCCTTCATATGTATGTAAGCTGTCTTTAGGATTCATGAATAGTTGCTGCAAATCATCCAGGAATTTCAGCGTTTCCACCACGAAACAATTTGAACAGTACTGTCTTCTGAGATGTAATGCCATGTAGTCCAGTAGAAGTTCACAGACATTTTGGAGGAACATACTGCTTCTGTCTTCAGGGTCAAAGAGTAAGCCCAGCAAGAAGCAGGCTTGAAGCAGAGTAAACTGTGTGTGTAAAATCAGGTTCTGATATGGGCTAGAAGGGAACTTGAAGTGAAATGAAGGGAGCAGAGCCATTGGCTAAGAGAACCAAAGGGAGCCAAGGGAAGAGTGATTAAACAATCTTTAGAAAGGGCGTTTTGTTACCTAGAGAAATGGGAGAAAATTCATGTGTTATAGGCAAGCAGGAGGTGGAAAGAGTGGCCAAGGAAAGCTCAGGAAGAGTCTCCACCTTCCTCTCCTCAGCAACAGTATTTACAGAAGACCTGGTGGCTGTCTGGACCATAGGATACACTGTAAACCTGCTCACGTCTACCTGAACTCTGGCACCCATCACTTACCACTCTTTTTTTTTTTTTTTTCGGAGGAACTTATTTATTAACAATCAGAATTACGTACATTCTATAGGTTAATGGTTTCGCTAACGACTATTACATGTCATGCGAGGAAAATGTCCATCGACGTTACCTCTTCAGAAGTTAATTTGTTTTATATCAGGTCATTTGGCCATTTCCTTTTTAATCTTCTATTGTTGATTGGCTCCCTGAGTGGTTGCAATAGTTCATTCTCGTGGGTTTCAATTTTGCTCGTGTGTTGGCGGCTTCTGTCCAGGATGATTTCTTTCACGAATTTTAATTTCAAGTCTTGATGTAGGGTTTCATTTGACACATACCAAGGTGCATCGACTAACATCCTTAGGATTTTCGATTGTGATCTTTGGATAATGTTGGTGTTGGACTTACTGGCATATCCCCAGATTCGTCTTGAGTGTTATTGGTGAGTACTTGATATCTATTTCTTGTTGGTAGTTCACCAACCTCCATGGTATTGTGTTGATTTGTCGCGTTTGTTTTTCGTCTTTTATTTCTCTGTACCTGCCAGTTTATTTTATTTGGTGACTGAGTTGAGGTTTCACTGTCTTCTTCTATTTCTTCTTCACTGGTCGATAACATATGATTTATTTGCTGTGGGTAATTTGTTACTTGAATAGGTTGTTGGATGCACTCATTTGGTTGATTGTAATGGCTGTTTGGTATGTAGTAGGACTTGTCGGGTTGTGGTTGTCCGTGATATTGCATTGTTGGCTGGATTGGGAATGCCTGATTGGTACTGATGTCCACTCTTCAATAAGCATTCTGTATTTCTCCACTTAGTGCACAGGGCCAGAGCTCTATGTGACTGGGACAGCCTGAATGATAAACTGGGGTTTGTCTGGGTTACATTTAGACAGTACAGCTACAGCAACCAGTAGCTTTATAGGACTGTCAGTCCTTCTGTGAGTGTGACTCTGCCCAGTGATGAGCCTGACTTGATTGCTCTCCTGGCCATATGTTGGGTCAACCTTCTACTGCATTAGCAGGATGATATCCAAGCACAACGTCAAGTCCAGTAGCCTCACACCGATGAAATTCTGCAGCTTCCTTCAGCTGGTCAAGGCTGACCTAGGACTGAAAATACAGGGAGTATACAGCATCCTCTGTGAGTGTGGTCAGGTCTCTGCATGCAGACAGACCATTTGAGTGACATCAATGGTAAGAAGCACTAACAGCTTGTCCATCTTAACCACCCAGAGGTCAGCCATGGCATGACACGGCATCAACTTGGAACACTGCATCCAGCTTTGACGTCAGTGTTCTGTCCACAGTATCCATGCACATGGATCGTGTCATCAGGGAGGTGACAGATGGAGCTTGCATCCCAATAGTATATGCAAGGAGTATGGTTTCTGTCTAAGTAAGTCATGGAAACCTCTAAGAACATAAGGACTTGTAGGACTTTTGGATCCTCCTACAGTGAACAGGCCTGTCCACTTTGGCCTCTTCAGGGTGCCCAGCTTCCTGAAATTTCCTTGGCAGCCCTTTCTGTAGCAACTGCCTCCTTTCTCAGCTTTCCTTCTTGTCCATGCTATCCCCTGTTGCTTGCCTATAACACAAATTCTCTCCTACAGTTACCCATTTCTCCAAGTAACACACCACTCCATGTGAGAGTCAGTGAGTTACTCTTTCCTTGACTGACATGGGTTCTTTCTAGCCTCTTAAAGACAGTGGGTCTCCTCCCATCACTTCTGTCCAAGTTTCCTTCTGGCCTGCATCAGAATTTAGTTTCCTGCACGTTGCTCATTCTGCCTACATGTTGGTTTTTTGCTTGGTTAATTCTTTGATCCTGAAGGTGGGGAAATATATTCCTCTGAAATGTCGTGACATTTAGTGTGGACCAAATAGAATGTGTTTAAAAATTAAAGTAAAAGTAAATTACAGAAGGTTCATCACTTTTACTTAAAGCTAATGGTACTAAAGGCAAAATCTTGCATTTGTGTTAAGTTATTTCCAGTATAGGAAAGATTCTAGATAAAACCATAAAAGCTAAATTGTTTAAAATACTGATCTAATATTGGTTCTAACCTCTTATCCCATTTAAGCAATGATAGTAACTCCTGAATTAAGATGTCCTTGTCTTCTGTTTTCCCATAAATCTCCACAATGTCCTTAAAACGGGAAGTACCAGCTTTCACCTTGGAAAATGGACGATCAGGAATGGAATTTCCCCATCCTCTTGACCCTGATCCAATATTCTCTGCCTGATTCTTACAACCAGAGGCATTAGAGTACTGCTGCACTTTGATTTCCTTCGAACTAAAATAATATTGCATTATATATTACAATAAAATTAACTTATGACTATATTTTATCATAAGATAAAGAACATGACTTCTCTGTTTTGAGTGTGGATCATTTTGAAGGGCACTTAAAAGTTCTCAACAAATCCTTATAAGTAATGTCTCAGTCTTTTAACAGATTTTAATGTTATAATTCTTAACATACTTTTACAGCCAGTGAACTTCTAATGTGGAACAGATTTGCAATATGTCTTTTTCAGCAAAGATGCCCTAGACTCTTTAGCTGTAGCTTTTAATGTAGCAGCAGTTTCAGTACTAAAAGAAACTAGGTGAAACTGTGAAATAGTTTTACTCAACAAATGCAACAGTTACTGAATTATTGAATATGATATTGTAATGGATTTTATCAATGCTTTCCCAGGCAGCTGCTCTGTAAACATGGTAAATTATGCAACAATAGAAAGGCGTCTTTGCTGTGACCGTTGCTATNAAATGAAATGACTTCTCTGTTTTGAGTGTGGATCATTTTGAAGGGCACTTAAAAGTTCTCAACAGATCCTTATAAGTAATGTCTCAGTCTTTTAACAGATTTTAATGTTATAATTCTTAACATACTTTTACAGCCAGTGAACTTCTAATGTGGAACAGATTTGCAATATGTCTTTTTCAGCAAAGATGCCCTAGACTCTTTAGCTGTAGCTTTTAATGTAGCAGCAGTTTCAGTACTAAAAGAAACTAGGTGAAACTGTGAAATAGTTTTACTCAACAAATGCAACAGTTACTGAATTATTGAATATGATATTGTAATGGATTTTATCAATGCTTTCCCAGGCAGCTGCTCTGTAATCATGGTACATTATAATATTATATTTAAGCATCCTGTTGCACTCTACACGATAAANACATGGTAAATTATGCAACAATAGAAAGGCGTCTTTGCTGTGACCGTTGCTATGTGATGGCTCAGTAAACAAACCTCAACCATAGAAGGACTATTTTCTGTGTGGTCTGTGCCGCGGCTGTATAACCGAGGCAGTGAGTGATAGAGTTCTGAGTTCTTGGTAGGAGACAGCCGTGGAAAGTTCGTTGACTTGTAAAGATTCAAAGTGTGATTTGAAGACTTTGTGTGTGCTATAGTGCAATGGGATTGGGACTGTTTAATTTAGTGAGATCTGTATTGTTCCAGTGTTATAAATCCATTGCCAGGAAGCAGATAGTGAAGACTAGTGGAAATAGACTGAGAAGATTAGTGTGGAGTGACTGTAAATTGTATAAGTCAACAAGAGTGTAATAAGTATTTGTAGTTACAACCTGTAGGTTGTTAATAAATCCAATTACCAATCCAGACCCGTGTCTTAGTCACTGTGACACGTGACAATATGAAAGCATACAGAATGACAGTGAATAGAATGGTTATTACAGTCAAACAGGGCGAATGATTGAAATCTTGTAGAAAAACAGTTATACTAAAAAAAGTTCAGATCGAGAAAAAATTAATGAATTGTAAAATAAATTACAGAATTACAGAATGACTTGCTGTATAAAAGTGTTGTGGGGGCTCTCAAGAGAGAGACAGTAGCTGAAAGCAATGTGTCAGTGAGTGCAGATGGTTTGGCATAGACATGTGTCAGAGTAGATGCATGTGATTGTGTGAGACAGATAGACATGCTGTGAAATGCAAGTAGGGCTTCAAGATAATGGTAGAGTGGCAGTGGTGAAGTGGTGGCGAAGACAAACTGCCATCAAGATAAGGCCGCGCCATAGCTCAAGCAGTTAGTCGCTGGCTTCCCGCTGCAGTGGCCCGGGTTCGATCCCCAAGGGGGTTGAGATCCAGTGATCATGGCAGCTAATTCAGCAGACCACCATGGCCAGTTCAGTGACCAGGAAAGTGCTGATTCGGATGCTGCATCACATAAAGCTGAAGACAGATATTTTGAACATTTGCTGCAGAAGTGAAAGTCCATCTAACATAGTGTACAGCCATTAAGCACCACTTCTTGTTATAATAATCATGTTTGTTTTATTCAGATAATCTTACCCTTCCCTGTCCCTAACTCTGTGACCACTGAGAATCGTTCCCAAAATGATACAACACTATTCATTCAGAATTACCTCAGGAATAACCCCCCTGAAGCTGTGGCGTAAAGTTGTGAAACCCCGCATACAGTAGCCAGAATTTGAAGGATATAACAATACTGAAATCAAGAAAAAATAAGTTTATTCATGTAATTTAAAAAAAGTATTTGTGTATTGGGAATGATGATATGAATTGCATCCAGAAACTACTGCAGTACTTTCACATTGCTACTGTACATAATGGCAAGACGTTATCTTTGGGTGTTCTATATTCGGTCCATGGTAGGAAAGAGACAAAACAAAACAGTTACATATTGTCACGTGATGGAGAGATGGTGCAACAGGCATCTTTGCAGAGCCTTTTCCTAGCAATGGCTGTCTGCTGGCTTTACAATTGCTTTGAGCAAATATGCCACAGTATATTTATGTGTGTGGGTTTCCTGCCATTCCATATTCACATGGCTGACTGTCTGAAAGGACTTCAGGATTTGCAAATGTCTGAGATACATGTGCCTTGCCTTCAAAAGCATTTTATCATATTTTGGTGTACAGTTCTGCATTTATTATCCTTTACTTCAGACCCAATTTTCTTTCATTTCCTTCTTCATATAATTTACTCCTCTCTCACATATCATATATCTGTATTGCTGTTCTTTTGGATATGCTTATGCATTTTCTTTCTCATAATAACATAGGCTCAGAATGAATTGCCTTTTGATTCGCTGTGAAGCATTCTGTTGATTATGGTTCAGTTTTTGGATCTGATTCTCACAGTGGTGACTTTCTTTTTATTGCTAGTGGGGTGGGACTAAGTCCTTTGTACTGTGGCTACTTCTGGCCTATTGTACCAGCCCCAGATGATAGGTGAGGGTGATTCTGGAGCAATTGGTGGAATGTAGATTGGCAGGGGAAACCGAAGTGCTCGGAGGAAACCTGCCCCAGCACCACTTTGTCCGCCACAAATACCACTTGACCAGACCTGGGATCAAACCCGGGCTGCCGCAGTGGGAAGTCAGCAACTAACTGCTTGAGATATGGCGTGGACAGTGGTGGCTATGTAGAGTACATTCTTCTAGGTTGTAAAGCCGTATAGTTTGAGGGAAACCAACATCTTTGCTTCTTGCTTGGCATACTCTTTGACCCTGAAGATGGAGGTGATATGTTCCTTCAGAACACAGGGTTATCTTTGAGCTGCATGGCATTACAACCTGGAAGATCTTACTCTTCATACTCCAGTTTACCTGCTGCTTCCACTGTGAAGAGTGAAACTTTTTACCTAAAGGCTGGTCTTACATTCTTGTGGTGCACATTTTTCCTACAGAGCTTTGGCATCCTGCTGTATAACCTTCATCTGGTATGTGGAAAATATATTTATTCTGCTTCATATGGAAGAAATAACCCTACCAAAATTTTTATCAGTTGAGTTTCTAGTTCATGCTCAAATTAATTCCATGTGTTCAATGAATAAGCATTGCAAATGGATTGACTTAAGCATATGTACTAACTGCATAGATCTTGATTCTTCTTAAGCTAATAGTCCCTCAGCCAATCAAGAAATTTCCTGATATTTGTGGAACCTGAAATGTCATTACCATGCTCACAGGGTATCCCACCAGATCCTATCCTGAGCCAGATTAATCCAGTCTACTTCCTCATATCTTACTTCTTTAAGATTAATATTAATACTATCCTACCATCTATGTCTAGATCCCCAAATAATGACTTCCCTTCATTCATAAAGTCTGTATGTATTTCTCATCTCTCCCAAGCATATTACATGTACTGGCCTCTCTTTCTGCTGGGGATAAGCTGACCATTTAACTCCGGTTAGTGCCGAGAATACTTGGAGCTTTGTTTCCACACTCTGTATGCCATCATGATATGGGGCTTAAATTTAGGAATACGTTTATGGACCTACTATATGGTGTCATAATTTAGAAGAATGCAGTCCATTTGTTCATCACAATGACTTAGAAGCATTCAAAATCCTTATTTGTTATTACAAATGAGAATGAGGGCCTGTAAGAGCAAAAAGAAGCAGTGTAGTTTCAGAGTTAATTTATGCATTCTGAAAATGAAGTGGAAGCAAGTTATGCAAAAAGAGTTTTCTCAGGAAATCACATAAAGCAGAGAGTTACTTTCCAGGATGTTTAAGAATGCAGTAATGCCTTGCTGACTGACCCAGGTAATCATAGCTGGAATGAAACCTAGATATAAGCATGGACTTAACCATGTCATATTCCCTGATTTTAAATTTGCAGAGGAGAAATTTGTTTCTTTCTGAATTGTTGCATGGCACCAACACTAAATATCTGTCAAAAATAGTACTACTCGGATATCAAGTCAGTTTTGAGATTTGACAAATTGAGTGTAATGGGTATGTGCTAATTATGTCACATTCCTCTCTGTTACACCATTTTTCTGGACATTTCATCTTTGTCATTGCAGACTGTTTACAAATATAGTTTCTTTCTAACATACCTTTCACCCAGGGGATATAGACACCACAGTGTTAGAGTTAAGAGTGTGGTCTTCTGGGTTATGATCAGGGCTTGAGGTGGGGCGGGATGCCATCCCAGTTCTTTTCTAAATGGCTTAAAAGCATCCCGTTACTTCTTTGGCAGTAAATGCAATGTACAATACCCAGGGCTTGAGGTGGGGCGGGATGTGGTGGGATGGCATCCCGGTTCTATTTTCATTCCACCTCAAGCACTGGTTATGATGGTATAGTACAGGGTGCATCAGAAAGAATGGATTTCACATGGCAATAAAATTGGTAAGGCTTTATCAAATCCAAATTTTATTATTACCATCAGATTCACCAATACATGCAATTTATTTTTGGAATATAATATCCATATGACGTCCTTGGCTTCTTATACAGATGGTGAGGCGCTTTCTGAAGTTATTCATCACTCGGTCATATCTGGTGGAATCACCGCAATTTCTTCTCGAATCATGGTCTTTGGCTTGTCTAGTGTATGTAGTCGATGTTTATAAACTTCCACCTTCAAATGGCCCCAAAGGAAGAAATCGCAGGGCGCAAGATCAGACGAACGTGCGGGCCAAGGAATGTCACCGCGATGTGAGATGATGTGCTGCGGAAAGAGCCCTCTCAGGAGATCCATTGTTAGTCGCGCAGTGTGAGTAGTGGCCCCATCTTGTTGAAACCAAATGTCCTCAGCATCAACAGCAAGCCCGTTCAGCCTTGGTTCCAGGAAATTTTGTAACATTTCAATGTAACGGTTACTGAACGGCCATCCTTCTCCATGGCCGTCCGTGTAATTTATTCTTTAAGGTTGAACCTGTGGCACGAAATGAAGCCACCCACCACAAAATTGTGTTCCGAGTAGAGATTCTATCACGACCTCCGAGCTCGAAATGAGTGCGGAAGGCTCGTTTAGTGGCAATCACAGACTCTCTATTTTTAAAAAACGTCTCTAAGATGAATGAACACTGTGCACCCGACCACTCCATGTTACCAACTGAAACTGCATTATCCTGCCAACCCAACGGTCGGTCCCCCCACTCTATTCCTCACCCCTGTCACGGCCTAACAGTCGCTTGAAATCCATCCAGTCTTTCTGATGCACCTGTATTATGGAAAATTACTGTGGCTTTATAGGAATGTACTGCTTTCACCTTCAGATGAAGATGGAAGCACTGTGATCTCTAGAAAGCTGGTCCCCACCTTCACTTTCATTGCCATGAGAACTTCAGATCTCTATTTTGGGGGGATTTCTAATGTGTGTGGTCACTGATACTCAGTTTTTTATTGCTGAAGTCTTACCTAATGTCAATACTGATGAAGTTGAAGGGGCTGTATTTATGACCACTTTTAGAAAGTCTTTCAAGATATTCTTCTTGCATCTCATGTTGCTTGTTGGTTACAAAATCAGCTACAATGAAACCCCTCCCAACGTTGCAAGCTGGATCTTGAATATTCTCACCCGTCACATTAAGTAGTACTGCAATGCGGCCTTGTGATGACACGGCCAACCAGGAGCCACCTTCTTTGCCTGGTTCTAGATCACGCCCTTTATTATTAATAGAAACATGTCTTTAGTTTGAACATTACATATATGTATGTTTAAGGAAAGGCAACTTGTGTGTGGGGTTGTCTGAATACATGTATGTTTTATTTAATGTGATAAAGACCACAAAGACCAATCACAATATGAAGAAAAGAAACCAGTACAAAAGTTTTCCTCTATTGTATGTATACAAAGTATCTTGCTACATATGTACCAATATGTGCAGTGACTTCAGGCTGCTTACTAAGGCAGTTCATGCATCTTGCCATGCTCTCAGGTATGATTCCTGTTTCTTCAGTATTTATCTTTACGCCTTTATTAAACTGTAAATGGTATGTTGTAAAGAGTGTATAAAAGATTCCTGAATTGTTAAGGACAAGAGGTACAATGTATCTACACATTGGCTTATTTTTAGCTTCATTTCCTTATTTTATAAGGAAATGGAATGGCCAATAAACAGGACTGATAAGAGAAGATTTATCTCAACAGAAGTGTGTTTCACGAGGATAAATACACCCACTCATGCTGTAGAACAAATGAAATAATGACACAACTACATATTTCACAAATAACATAATTTATAGAAGCATATAGGAGAAGGTGGGACAGAGGCTATTCCAACTGAAGTTTCTTGGAGTTTTCATCAGTCTCCAGGCAAATGCTGAAATAGTACTTTTATTTGCCTATGACCACGCCCTCCCAAATCCTTTCCAATTTCATCATTCAAGATAAAGGGAGATAAGGAGGAGAATCTTAATGGTCTAATGATTGTGTGTGAGCTGTTTGTCTGTCTCTCTCGATAACTNTTTGTCAAGATAACTTCTATATAGAATGTAAAATAACAAATGTGGCCACCACATGTAATCTAGTATATTGTGGCTTATAGACCTGTTGCTCAGTGGTAACTCTGTAAACAGCGGCTGATTGTAGCATATAGACCTGTTGCTATGTGGTGACTGTAAATAGCAACCGACTGTGGAGTATAGACTGTTACTAAACAGTGACCATTGCTAGGTAACACCCACAACATACATGCACACAACAATAGAAGAACTGTTTTCTATGCAGTCCATGCCAAGATGTTATAACCAGGAGGTTTGGAGCTTAGTTCAGTTAAGTTCTGCATGGGATGCTGTGAAGAGAGGACCTGAGCTCATGAAGCTGAAAAATTTCCATTGTTAGAAGCCATTGCCAAGAAATGGCTGGAAAAGACTTACGGGGTGCTGATGGTGATTTCTGAATTGTGGAGATTAGCGGTAGCATTATAATTGTAGTTATGAGTTGTGTGTATAAGTAGTTAAGTCAAGTCACCAATCCAAACCCTGTCTATAGTCACCCTTACTACATGATAATATGCATTCCTGTGGTTGAAAGTGATAGCTGACAAAGTACTGTATGTGCAGGATTTGAGCAGCAGTCAGGAAGAGTTTATCTTCTGGGATATAACACTGTGTAACCTGTTCAAAATCAGTTGTTGTTTTGGAGGAACATGCTGCCTTTAACTTTCATGCCAAAGAGTAAGCCAAGCACAAAACCAGGATGAGGCAGTCAGAAAGCATAGCTATGGCTGTTTATTTACTTGACTTACTCTTCAATCTTGAAGATGGAGGCAACATGCTCCTCCAAAATGGCAGTTGATTTTCAGTGAACTACACGGTGTTATATCCCAAAAGATAGAATGTTTTTACTGTATGTGGAATTTGGTCTATATTAATTGATTATAAAAAAATATAGTTAGTAGAGCTGTGATATAAGATTATGAGAATGTAAATTTTATATGAAAGTAGACCATATACACACATCAATTTCACTTGAAACATACTTTTATGTGTTAAGAAAGTCATGGCAACAGTACACAACCTTATTTTATATCTAACTGTTAGTGGAAATTATGCCATAAATGTATCTCTGAATTTGTAATAGCAAATTATAATTCTTGCCAACCTCACCATAGAGACTTTAGCATTCCAGGGTAAACAGGAATCATCAGTTTGTCCAAAAACTTCTTACTTTCCTGTTAGCATGAAACCTGTTCACATTTCACATGTTTAGCCCCAGTGGTTCATTAATTATTGCCAACAGACTAAAAGCTAAATACAGTTTATGCACAGCCACCATGTTATTTTAGATTGTACAAAAACATTACCACAGCAAAATTTGCACATTTAAACAAGACTATTTCCAGGATAGCTCAGTCAGTGCAGCAGTTTGCTATGAGCTAGATGGCTGAGGATTGGAGTTCTATTCCTGGCAAGGGCAAGAGATTTTTCTCTACTTCCTAGCAACCAGACTAGCACTGAGGCTCACCTAGCCTCCTGTTGAATGGGTACTGGGGATTCTTTCCCCATGGGTTAAAGTGGCCGGGGCATGAATCTCACCACTCATCTCCATCTAGTGCCAAGGTCAAGAATACATGACTCTATGCATGCCCTCCTCCATAACAACTTTAACTTTACCTTCTTGATAATCAAAAATCACTTCAGGGCCCTAAATGAAGTGTCACTTCTGCATAAAAAATATTTTCATTTGCCACATTTTTATTACTGACTGTGGGAAATTGAAAAGTACAGTACTGAAGTAGTCTATGCTGGCATAACAGTCCTACCACCTTTCGTGAAAGTTAGTCCTCTGGCTCAAACATTGAAATGACGTCCACATAGACAAACATAAACCTACTTTTTTTCCTTTTAAGGAAGAAGAGTAGGCTGACAATCTTCATTTTCACTTTCACAAGTTGACTACCACTTACAGGGTTAAAGAAATTGTAGAAAACCCTCAGTACAGTCAACTCTCGATTATCCGGGATAATGGTGGGGATGGAAATCACGATTAATCGAAAACCCGCTTAAGACAAATTTTATTAAAAGTAGTACTGTAATACTGTACCTTCACAATACTATAGGCCTACCTGTATTTAAATTTATTCTACCTCATCTTTATGTCATCTCATGGCCTATTTAATACTTTTTTTACATTACACTGAAGTATGAATTAGTTATTTCAATCACAGTCTTCAACAACATCCAACACTTTTTACGAATATTCAGACTTAACACTTAAAAAAATTTAATATTTTCGTTTACTTTTTTGTGGCATTTTCCTTTTTCTGTTGAATACTTAACACAACACGCTTCCTTTTACACCCTGACATTTTGCTAATGCACTTGAAGATCGATACAAAGAAACTAACTGGGGCGGTGTATCTGTCCTTGAAACTTTCCACAAATCCTTGCATTCTTCCACCCCTACCCTAGAACATTGTGTTAGCATAACGGGACCAAAGAATGCAGAGCTCAGTTCACACTAGTGCGAAAATCGTGTTACAACTCACCATGTGAAACAAAAGTGAATGAATATTAAACAACATATAAGCCTCAAAATGCCTCAGTAGCCCCAGATAATCGAGAGTTGACTGTACATACATAAATCCTTAACTGCCAACAATTTTTCCTATCAATGTAACATTTCATTTACTGAATGTTAGAATCATGTTTTCAGTTTATTCTCATTGATTACTTGGACTTTATGTGTAGATATATCAACAGAAGTTTCTCTGATGAGATAGATCTTCTTTTGAAAGCATTTTGGTACCATGCAACTGAGAAAAATAAATGGTCATTTTGTATAAAAAGCTGTACTGTAGGCAAGAGTGGAGTTTGCCTCCATAAGAGGGTGTTAGCCATCACTCTAAAGCATTGCCCAACATATATCCTTTCTCAGTTGTCACACAGACTATCTATTACCATACATTTGTTCTGAGATGTCTGCATTGTAACTGGCCTTAGGGGAGGATGTGAATGACATGAGAGTTCTGGAAGCATGAAGATACTGAAGAAAAAAATGTATTTTCCAGGTTATCATTTTGAATACAGATGGTTACAAAACAAATTGGATTTTTACTCTGTTTATTCAAGATGTAGTTTCATTTTTGAGCTGCTGCAAATTTTCACTGGGGCATGTGGTAGTATAGTTAGTTGAGGCACTATGTTACAAGCTGGAAGGTCACAGGTTCAAGTCTCAAGGTGGATTTTTTCAGTTTACCTAATCTTTCCAGCTGCACTATGGCCCTGGGGTTGACTCAGCATCTAACAAATGTGTACCAGAAATCTTCCTGGGGGAGAAAAGGGTGGCAGGCACATAAGGCTGAGCCTTCACAGCCTGTTACAGGGATAGTTTTACTTTTTTACCTTTTCATTCCATGGAGGCAATATAAAACTTCCAGAGGATGTGGTGCTGACTGGACAGTTATGCCCTTTTAATGCACTTTCAGGTTGAATCTAAATCTGTGTGTTCATGAATTAGTACCTGGAGAAATTTAAAATCCTAGGAAAGTGGCATGGGTTTGAAACCCAGGGCTTTCTGTGTTCCTAATTTTTATTATGCATCTTCAAGCTTCATACCCCCATCATAATTAGGCTAACTACAATGACTGAAACCTGCCAATTAGTTCACACAGCAACGAGTAGGTTCATGACATATTACTAGGGACAATAGTCAGGCAGCTATTGAAACTGAAATATATTATAAGTGTAAACAAAATAATACATTTCTAAACACAGTTATGGCTTATTTATGATGTACAAGGCGGCCTCCGTAGTCTAGGGGTAACGTTCCCACCTCATGACTCAAGTTACGCGGGTTCAAACCCGGCGGAGGTCGTGGAATTTTTAAGGACGTAAAAATTCAGGGAACAAGTCCTCCGGGAGGGACTTTCAGCCGTCAGTCCCGTGTCGTAGATTTACGGCACATAAAAGATCCTCATGTCTCTAGGAGACCTCTGAGCAAAATTAGGCAAAAAGTTTCCTGCCCAAGTAGTTTCCAATGCCTCCGGTAGATGGGGAAAGTTATCGGGTACCAATGCCAGTAGAGGATCGACCTCGCTGGCAGAAAGGGGAGAGTTATCAGGTACCACTGCCAGTAGAGGGCTGACCTCGCTGGCAGAAAGGGTAGATAGCGGGCACCAGTATTGGTAGGGTATGGCGACAGTAGAATTAAAGGGGGACGTACAATAGACTATTAGTCGCGGTGCATGGGGAAACCCACCCCCTCTATACTGAATAACTGAATATGATGTACAATGTTCAGTTATTAGCACCATGTGTTCTGATATGACACATAAGAATGTAATCTTAGTAGGATGAGCTGGAAGACGCAACTGCTATCCTGTACAAAACTGTTGTGAGAAACAACCTGGGTAGAAGTGCAGAGGCATTCTCAATGCTCGCACAGAATTCAAGAAAATGTACAACTCTTTAATAGTAGTAAAATACTACAACTCTGTAGTGAAAGAGTTGCCCAGCATTCTACATTATGTCTATAAAATATATTCCAATCTCTTAGGAGTACCTCCTATCACTGTAGGATCATCATCCCAAAAATGAGCCTGACGAGTTGGACGCTCATAGTGTTCATCTCTGTTGGATGCCAAAATCAGTCTGAACTCATTTGGTGCTGGATTGTTGGTAGTGTGCAGAAATAAGATGCACATCATCAGTAGCCTTGATACCTAGTACTGAGTGGGGAAAGAAAAAAAAAAAAGAAGAATTTTAGAGATCTTACTGTTAAATCCTCTTTTCAATACAGCAATACCTCACATAGTCTGGGT